GCCCTGTGGATGGTGCTATCCTGTGGCTTCAAAGTTCAGCTACATTTAAGAATTTAAAAACACATTCTTAAGTTATGAACTATAAAACATGGCAGATTATGACACACAAGACACATGGGGAAAGGAGACAGCACAAGAAAATGGGACAATCTGCTGTTACCTAATCCTTCTGTTGAGTAGAAGGGGACACCAATATGGCGGACAGAGCGTCTAGTCAACCGGTTGGAAATTATCCGACGTCCGATTCATACAGGATATTGTTTGTGGTGGTTTGGGTTAAAATGTTGACAAGTCACAAAAGACATTTTTATTTTGTTTTATTTTTATCAAAACAAAATAATTTAACCATATAAAGAAGGAAATAAATTTCAACAAACAACCAAGAAGCCAATCGCTTCCCTGATTATGAACAATCATTAAGTCCTGAACAGTTGACTGCATATATAAGGTTTTTGAGTCAGCCTCTAGGGCTCCAAGTGGCAGTGGCTGATGATTTTCCCTGGCTCCTATTCTTCCAGTGGTGAAGTAATGTGCTCAAATGTCCCTGTACTTCTTCAGACCAAATTATGTATATTACCATGTGAGTACCAAGCATGGGTGAGAAGAATCATACAAGGTAGAAATCTAGCACACAAGATTTTCTAGGTCCTGACACCTGTATTTAACGAGTCCTGAAAGATAAGGACAAGAAATTGTGCTTAAGTATAGAGAAATGTAGTGTTTCAAAAGCCAAAGAGTCCTCCACACACGAACTATGGGAATAACAACTGAAGTGAAGAAAAATACACAAGCCCTGCTTGCTGTAGTTGTAGAAATATGATCGCCCGTAGAGCCAGTCGGGCCATTTTCTCCTCACCATATTAAATTATGTCTGGGGAGTTGAGCAGCAGCACATTCCGATAATGATGACAGTTTCCATAACTATAAAATCTGCTGCACCAGGCAAATTTTGTGCAAAATGCAAATTTCTGTGCTGGGGAAAAAAATGAATAATGTGATCATTCTAAGTAATGAATGTAAATGCAAGGAAATACTTCTTGGCATGAAACTGCAAATCCTTTATCTTTCATGCCAGGGGCTGTGGTCACAATGCACGTCTGCCAGGCTACTCTCCCAATCTCAGCTTTAGAAGAGAGATTTTTCGGAAGGGAAAGTCTAACTTGACCTAGGTCACCCCTCATGTGATTGGCAGAGTTGTGATTAGAATTCAGAGATACCTCCCCACCTTTTTTTATCTCTTGGCCAACGAACTATAGGTTCTCCTGGTTACTGTGAGGTGTGAAGCAAAGGGGTATTAGCTTTGTCTAGAATCTCAAAGGTTACACCTAATAGAGGGATGAGCCTTTCTTCACCACTGAGCCTCACTACGAGGCGGAGTCAGGCTATCCACCAAACAGCACAGACTTTAAGAGTCATTTAACAGTATAGGTTGCCAAGGAGGGAGGTAAAAACTCTTCCCCCCATACATTTTTCACAGCGAGATCTGGCTGGGGAGTAGGTACCGTTGGAGAGAGGAACCCGGAGGTGAACCTTGAGCATCACGGGCTGTGGCACTTGTCTGCCTTGCCCTGCAAGAATGGCAGAGAATTCAAGGTGGCCTTTGCCTTAGTCCACACCAGCATCGCTGGAGCTCTCCTCCGTGGAAGAAGCTGAGGTACCAGTTGGTTAAGACACTTACCTAAAGATACAATAAAATTAACAGCACTGGAGAAAGAGGGACATCTCTGACCTTTAAACTCTGGTTTACCTTGTTCTAAAATAAATTTGTTCTCCCTTAACCATTATGCAGTATATACTTGTAGAGTGATAAACTGCAGCAATCACCAACTGATAATACTGAAATTTTATTTTCAATAACCCAAACTGAGTTCTAGTTGCTGATGTTATCCTTAAAATGTATTCCTATAACTGCATTTCACTTTAAGAAAACCCATGGGAAAATTAAGATTTATAAGATCAGAGATTGTTCCTTGCTTTATAAAAGGATTCATTTAAAAATAATTTAAAAAAAAAAGCTTTACTTTAGGTTGTTTTTTTTTTTTTTTGAGACCGAGTCTCACTCTGTTGTCTGGGCTAGAGTGCCATGGCATCAGCCTAGCTCACAGCAACCTCAAACTCCTGGGCTCAAGTGATCCTGCTGCCTCAGCCTCCTGAGTAGCTGGGACTACAGGCATGCGCCACCATGCCCGGCTAATTTTTTCTATATATATATTTTTAGTTGTCCAGATAATTTCTTTCTATTTTTTAGTAGAGACGGGGTCTCGCTCTTGCTCAGGCTGCTCTGGAACTCCTGACCTTGAGCGATCCACCGCCTTGGCCTCCCAGAGTGCTAGGATTACAGGCGTGAGCCACCTTGCCAGGCCTAGGTTGCATTTCAATAGGCAGCTCTCTGTTATGCAAATTCTTTTTCAATTTAAAAAAAATCCATCACAGTATAGTTTTTCACAAATTCATGTTGCTATAAAGGTACACTTGTAAACACTGCCACCTGCTAGCTAAATAACCAGCTGAGGGAGGTCAGGCTGGCAACCTGCTCACCTTTGTAAGAGACACAAGGAGTTAAAGAGATGAAGCAACATTTCGCTATGTTTGCCCTACGTTGGGACGTGGCAACCAGCAATGGTGCCTCATAGAATGGCACAGCCTCCACCACTATCCCGAGGTTGGTGCTCCTTGGAGCTATGACTTACTGATTGAGGACCAGTGGTCCAGTTGACACCTCAGCAGCCACCCAGAAAGCAAGGATCTGGAAGGAGGTTTTTCCCTTTGGCTAGTACCTCCCAAGACAAAGGAGCCAATTAAGCCTACAGATGTTATTTTCCACTCACACAGTAGTGTTCTGTTTTTGCTTTTAATCTTTGAATTATGAGCCAACATTCATAAACTGAATGATTGTACCCCAAAATCTGGAACTCTAGGAAAAAATTAGATGGAGCTTCCCTGAGCTCATATTCTTCGTAGCAACGATTGGCTGCTTGTGTTTCGGCTCCTCATGATCCCACCCAAACTTCTTGCATGTGGGACCCCTGGGACAATGTCTCCCGGAAGGAATATCTCCAAGCCACCAACTCCATGTAAGCAAAGGAGGGGGCAGCTTCTCCATCGTCCACGCTCAGAAGACTTGGAACTCATCTTGTCCAACTCTCATTCTCATCTGGGGAAACTGAGGTGCAGAGAGGGTCTTAACCAAGACTTCCCAGCTCGTTAAAGATCAAGTCAGGACTTCACTCTCTCACTCCAGCCGTAGGCCACTTTCCCGCACTGCCTCTCTTGTTACAGTGGCATGGGTAACTCGAAAGGCCAGATAATCACCACATCGCTTTTGTTTGGTTTAGAAAGTACATGGAGTGAATGTCTAACATCCATTTTACTTCCCTTCCTATGTTTTTCTTGGCTGGGCTTGAAATCGCTTGGATAGTGATGAGTGCATATGAAATGACCACAGACATATGCTAAGTAACCAGGGGGAGCTGGTCTCCCACTGAAGTTTACTATGAATAACACCAAAATTGGAAAATTCACATGAAGATACTTGATATTTGACCATACTTAGTCACAGGCAAGGACTTTCTGAAGTGTGTTCATGTGTGTGAGATGTTTTGCTTTGCCGGGCCTTGCCTTTCAAGTACGGGATGTCATATGAACATCATTACATCAAAGTTAAGCCAAAAGAGCTCGCCTATAAATTTCAAATTGTACAAAATCATACCAAAAGTAAGTATAAAATTTTATTGAAATGCAGCAGTGTAAACCTCTTTAAGTTTGTCCTCTCCCATTTAAGGAGCGGGAGAGGAAGGCAGTGAATCCGAGGCTTTGCTTGCTAGGTTGGCTGACGTACATCTTCTATTTTCTTCTGCACAGGGGCGCACTGGCTTGGAATACTGGAGAATTTTATCTGTGCTGTTCTGACTTGCACAATACAGAGGCTGATTTAATTTGACAGCAAAGTAACACCAAGCCCCCAAAATAAAATTACTGAGATGTAAAACAGCGTCAAAACTCCAATTAGTTTTGTATCCTTGAAGTTTCTGGAGGAAATCTAAAAGGTTCCCGTCACGATGAGCAGGCATCAATTTAAGCTGTACAGATTACTAAAATGTAACCCTCTAATTGAAATTGCTCAGAGCACAATATGACAAAAAGAATCAGAGGAAAATAAGTGAATTTTTCCCCCTCAAAAAATGACTCATTACTGAGAGACTGTTCTATTAACTTTTAACACAATGTTCCTTTGCAAGAGCTAGAAAAACCAATGGTCGCAGAGGTCTCAACAGAAAAGACCCCAAGCACAAGAACAGTAGGTGCTTGTGTCACTTGACCATAAATGAGCATTGACCATTTGTGCAACATTTAAAAATAATCAGCACTTCACCAGATCATAGTTACAGGAGAAAGTATATTTACAATCTCCACGGAGGAGAATTACTCCGACCAAACTTCAGTTTTCGAATGTATCTGAATTTTGTTTCCCAAATGAACAGAAATATCTTGATGCCCAATTCACAACCCCATCTCCTTTTCAAGCTACCCCAATTATCCCAAGCAATGTCACCAGCCTCAAAGCAAACCCTCAGCTTACTAATGGGGAAAGTCAGTTGCCTTGACTTTGTGGGGTCCACATGTAAACATGCCAATGGTGGCTCTCTTGGTTCTTGCCATTTTACAGGAGGAAGGCAGTGGGGGACTGACACACAGGATAAGACTGGGTGTCAAGGCCTCGTCACTGCCCACATTGAGTATTCTTAGACTTTGCTTCATTGCCACTTCTGCCTGGCTGGAAGCATGTGAACATGAGTGGTGTGTGCCCAAGGGGAGCTGGGGAGGGGTGTGGCTGGTGGGGCTTTGGAGTTGGTTAGAGTTGGCTTGGAAGGAACTCAGAATGGCTTTCCTAATCTGTAGGCATTTCATGAACAGAGTTTAGTTCTTCTGCCAGCCTGATGACATTTACTTGTGAAGCATCAACAGTCTTTGACCACGGATACCATCTTCCTTGGGAAGCTTCATATTTCTATAACCAATCGGTCTTCATCGTCACTGCTGGTGTCACTGAACTCCACGCGAGTTTGCTTTCTCATTCCTTCCAAACTCCTCTTCCTGATGGATTTAGAAGGGGCTTCAGGGATTTCTGGGGGCTGCCCTGGGTGGGAAGGATCCACAGACCTCTTCAGAGTAATTAATCCAGATACTTGACACTTCCCACCATCACTTCCTAAAGCGGGGCAGGGAATGGCCGTTTCCCCACATCCAGATTGGCCCCTGGCAGGAAAAAATGTCTTGTGTCTCCCTTCCTCTTGGTGTGAACTCGTTGAACTTGGTCCTGAAGCCGGTATTTCACGACGAGTCTTTCCAGTTGGCCCCAGTGGACCCAAACCTGAAATTCTTTGTCCAGATGAAGGATTCCCTGGAGCAAGTGTCTGTGATGTGCCCTCTGCCATAGCTTTGCTGTCTGGGAAGCTTTGTGCCCGAGTGTCCCCCACAGCCCAGCTGTGGTCTCGTGGCTCTGAGCTGTGAACTCCTAGGGCTGTGTGACCTGCCCTCGCCCCCAGAGATGTACTAATGGCAACCGCAGAGGTAGCAACGTCATGGAGGGGAAAACTTCCTTTGGACCCAAAGGAAGAAGGCTCTCGAGCATCTGAGAAAATGCATGGTTTAGGATCTGTTGAGACTTGATCCTGGAGGGGCAGTGGTGGAGTCTCCAGTAATCCAACGTCAAGGCCTTTGCCATGGGATGGGGTGTTGTCACTAGCCACTGCCAAGCCCAAGTCGGCTGGCAGAGGCAACCCTGACGCGGCCGCGGTGTCGTGAGAACAGTCACCGTGCTCGCCCGCAGATGGAGACATACCCTGCAACAAAGTGCAAAGGAAAAGAAATGGGGGAGAAAAGGTTAATTGGTACAAAGAAAAATGTGGTCAGAAACACGGTCCTGGATGAAAACTAGGTCTGAGGCCTTAATGATTCTTTACCAAGCGTGACCTTCAATACGATGCCCTCAATAACTTTCCATTAATAACTAATTGGTGTATTTACTTGAATAAAGCTCCTTATTGATACAAAATAGGTTACTGAGATTCTATGTGTTTTTACCTGGCTTTGTTAAAAACAAAACAGCTCAATTATCTAACTAGTTCTGAGCTTCCTATTTGAAGTACCTGCTGCTCAGGAAGTGGATGTCCTATTTTATAGTACCGTGTATTGAAGTTTTTTCCAGATTGGCATTTCTCAAAGTGTGGTCTGGATTCGTATTTCAGTGGTTCTCAACACGGAGTCCCACAGTCCACCTGGGGGTGATTTCACGTTACAGTGATGTCTGGCATCATCTCTACTCTATTCAGATGTGAACTAATAACACACGTAGGATTTTTAGTAAACCATCAGAAATCATCCCAATGGTTTCACAACCAGTTGCCTATTCTTTCAGTGCAGATTGTATGGCGGTATTTGTTCGCTTCATGGGCTTTTTGTGTGGAAAGCTTCATGGGTGATCCAAGCAAGTTTTGCCCCACTGAACAACAACAAGACAAAGGTGAGCTATCAATCTAGGCAACGAATAGGTAGAGACAGGTCAAAATCACAATTCCCACCTTCACAGTTAATTTGTCTACGTCCCCGACAGTCCTTGAACTTGCACTGGGAGAGAAGGGTCCTGAAATTTGTCCGCAGTCACCTTCCTTCTCCTCTTCGTTCCCTCCACAAAGAGACAGTTCCGAGGGGGCACAAGATGGCTCCCCCTGCGGATTTAGACCTGAAAGGGGGAGACACATCTGTACACATCTGGAACTGTAAGATTAGCAGAGTAATTTCCCAGGAGGCTGTTCATGTCTTCACGACCACCTCTGAGCTCATTAACCCACATCCCACATGGTGTGTGCAAGAACTCAACGTATCTCCCACCAATTCACACTTGGTCAAATAAGATATCTCCACTTCTGCAAAGGAAGAAATAGCAAAACCCATTCCTAAAGTAGAAAAGTCCCTAGATTATATACATTGTAGAGATATATATGTAGTTCACGTGGCTTTTTTTATCAGAGTCATCTTCTTGGTCATGTTTGTTTAGGTTAATTTTAGATCAACATCAATTCTCTGGCCATACTACGAGGCGGCCAGAGTAGAAGTTTCACTCCACGTGTCATGGGAACCCAAGAGATACTCACTGTCTCTGTCCCCATTAGAGCTAGTGGGGCAGCAGGGGAAGAGGCTGGCTTGTGTGGTGCTGTTGTTGTGTTGTGGTTGTTATTGTGACTGTGGGGAAAAGAGGGCCTTGGCAATATATCCACAAAACAGACTCTCTGGCAACTGCCTTCCCCTTGCCCCTCACGCTGACTCTTTCCTCTGTTTCAACATGGTGACCTGGCATACATGTCAAAAGGACCACAGAATTTCAGAGAGGGTAGATTACATCATGATATGAGATCAGAAACACATTCTAGAAGGACTGTGTCAATAGAGAAGACACATTAGGCCCACTTTTAAATGTGCTTTTATTTGGATTGCAGTTAAACATGCACAGAGTTTGAAAAAGTCAAACCTTTCTACTTATTAAGAAAAACAGCAGCTTCTGCCAACCCACCCATTTTTCCTATCTTGGATTCTTTTGAGATTTATCTCCTTCACTTCTAATAACATGCCTATGATACTACTTCTTGATTTTTTTGTTTTAGTTTGGAGTATAACCTATGCCTTCTCATGAAGGGAGAGGAGGATTTATCTTCTCTCCCAGCTCTTCCTCTCACAACCTTCACCACCCTATACATAAACATACTTCTCAGCCCTCTATCCTCTCAACAGCTACAGAACTCTGATGTCCTACTTTTATTTAGGGGAAAATTCCACATTTACATGATCATAGGAGCATGCCTTTCACCACTGAGCCATGTAGTATACTATGATCATGTTACCTTTCTTGCCAAAATTGTTTTCCCTAGAGTTAATAATTATTTTGTTTTTTAAAAAATTTTGCTTAGTTTTCTACAGACTGATTACTTAAATCATTTCCCAACCTCCTCTCCAATTGTCTAAAGTTTCATTTCATTTCCCTAGAAATATCTCTCTTGAAACTTTCTAACTTGCTCCAGATGCTCTCCAGGCTGTGCTCCTGGGTCTCCCTTCCCCACCACTGTGGGCGGTAATAAATAGCATAAATAAAAGTTCATGATCTGGAATATAAAGTTGAGGGAATTCCTCCAAGAGTGAAAAAGGAAGACACAGAAACAGAAAATAAGAGATAAAAGATAAGAAAAAGAGAAGATTATACCAGGAGGTCCAGTAACCTAATAAGAGCACCTCTTTCTTCACTCCTGGGCCTCCACTTCTTTTTCCTTGGATTACTTCTTTTTCTCTTGGATTCCTCTCTTGCTTTCCCAACACAAAACTTCTAGTAGCCTCATGAGAAAGGGTGCATGAAGCAAAATTGTTTAAATGCATTTGGCAGCTTGTCTGGGTACAACATTCTGAATTGGAAATCATTTCCCTTCAGAATTAAAAATGTTGCTCTTCTGAGTTCTAGCTGTTGAGAAGTCTGTAGACAATATGATTTATGATTCATGATTCTTTGTATGAATTGTTTTTGTTTTTTCCTCCCAGGAAGCTCCAAGGCTCTTCTTTATTTTCAGTGTTACCACAGTCCTGGGTCTACTTTCATTCAATGTCTGGGCATTTAATGGATCCTTTAGTGCTGAATCATGGCCTTCAGTTTTAGAAAAACGTGGTTCTGTTTTTCTTTTTTTTTTTTTCCCCCATGTACAACACATTGTTTTGAAATATGCATACATTGTGGAATGGCTAAATTAAGCTAATTAATGTATGCATTACCTTACATACTTATCTTTTTTGTGTGTGTAGTGAGAACACTTAAAATCTACTCTCAAGCAATTTTCAATAATATATTTAATGATATGTTATTAATATTAATTACAGCCATCATGTTGTACAATAGAGCCCTTGAAATTATGTTATTTTTCAATTTTTTTTCCCTTCTGTTTTGTCTTTTTTCTCTTTCTAGAACTGCTCTTATTAGGTTATTGGACCTCCTGGCATAATCTTCTCTTTTTCTTATCTTTTATCTCCTATTTTCTATTTCTTTGTCTTCTTTTTTTACTTTTGGAGGAATTCTCTCAACTTTATATTCCAGATCATGAATTTCTATTTATGTTATCATGTTTTTAATTCCTAAGAGTCCCTTCCTATGTTCCTTTTTGATAGCATCCTGATCTTATTTCATGGCTCCAACATTTTCTCTTTTATCTCTGGCAATATTAACAGCAGTTTGTCATTGCTGTTTTTGTTGAAGTTTGCCTCTCCCTCCATAGTCCCCCTTCCAAGTTTGTTTGTTTTTTTATCTCTCTATGTTAGAGGCTTTCCTAAGATACGCAGCAATCTTAAATATCTGTTTAGGACATAGGCACTAAAAAGCTGATTCAGTGCTGTTTGCAAGTATAGTCTGTTAACTATGGGCCTCACTGCAGGATCATCGGGTTGCCCTGTTTAAGTGGGAACTCTGTAGTGATGAACTCTAGGACTTCCACATGCACTGCTCAACTGCTGCAAGAACAGTCCTCTGACCTCCTGCCTGGAAAGTACAGCCAGGCTCCCAGCATTCTAGAGCTGAACTTGGGGAAGAGATTTGGGGGCTCAATATGCAGTATTAATCATTTGGTTAAACCCTGTTTTCAACATTGTCCCCTCACTTGCTCCCCTGCTGAGGGACTTGTCTGGGTGTCCCCAGCATGCTGTATGCTCTCCAGAGACCGAGCGCCTTGTCTTCTGTAGAGGGAGGGAAGTTACCACACTCTGAGAAGTGGGTGGGCTGGGGATCTCAAGTCTGACTGCTTCTTAGAAGTGTGGTGGGGGGCAGGGGGGAATATTACAGACAGTCATGGTAGCTGAGGGTATTACAAAGAGTGAGGATAAATGAAGGACTTCTTTTGGAGAGTAATAGGGGGTAACTTTTATACAGCTGAAGGTCTCTCTGGAAAGGCGATGTCAGATATGAGACCTTCAGGATGAGAAAGAACCACTCCACAAAGGATGTTCCAGACAAAGGAAGGACAAATACAGAGACGCTGAGGAGGACAGGAGCTTGGGGGATTGAGGGACCCATGGGAGGCGAGCATGGGAGAAGGGTGGGAGCGAAGGGGTAGAGGCACAATGAAGGTAGGAAAGTCAGCAAGGACTCAGACTGTGGCGGGTAAAAGTGGCTGCAGTAAGAATTTTACATTTTATTCCACATTCATTGTGAAGAGGTCAATGTTTGCTGCAGAGGGTTTACATTTTTCAAAGATGCATGTTGCTGCTATCCGGAGACTAAATTGGAGGAAGAGGGGAGCAGAGGTGGGAAAACCAGTTGCAAGGAAACTAGGGTGGTCTAGGGGCCAGGTGACATGGCTTGACCAGGGCAGTGGAGAAAATGGATGGCTTCAAGACGTGTTTTCATTCTCACCCATGAAAAATTACCAGAAATTAATAATAAGGATATACATTTCTTTAGCCCCGTAGCTTACCAAGCACAAGTGCTCACTCTAAGTGGATTAAGCTCTGTCCTCACAGTGACAAAACATCCAAGCAATTCATTCAATTCCATGAAGAAGTAAAATCAATTAGTATTAAGAAAATAATCAGATTGGCCAAATGTCTTCCCAACAGGTTGTTTGGGTTTTCAAGCTTAAGCAGAAAGGTCATGTGCACATTTGACCAATAACTTCTGACTCATATGTGAAAGTGAAAGAAGAAAATCCATTGATTTAATTTTCTTTTGACCCTATAGTCTAGACAGAAAAGTGAGTTATCTTTAATAATTGTGAAAAATGCCCAAATAATGTCACTGAAGTGTGTTAAACTAATTTGGATTATTGAAGAAGGAGGTCAACTTGCTTTTAAATGAATGGCCCTTTTCAAAAAGTAAGTAGTGCCCTGGTCAAATTTTAAGGCACAGAATATGATCCTGTTTAGATTTCAGCATCACACTCACTCTATGAATCACTTCCTACATCTTCAGAAATTACAAATTCCACCGTCTTAATGCAATCTGCAGAAACTCGATTGCTCTTACACAATTATGTGAATCTTATTAGAGAAACCATCTCTCAGCACAGCTCTCTGTGGCATCCTGTTCTCCCCCTGATTAAAGGCTGCATTTTTAATAATTTCTCTCAGAAATAATTGCCAAACCACGTTTAGAGGAAGAGACTGCTTAAAGTGTTATAGCAATTTTAACTTTAGCCTTTGAAAAGGCTATAGGAAACTGTAAAATAATTAGAAAGAAAAATGAAGTAAAAAAACAACATGATGAAACTTACAACATAACTGGAGACACCTCTAATGCCAAACCTTCTTCTGGTTGTCTAATTTCTAGGCCTTATTAAAATGCTAATGAACATATTACTTAAATATCATTACATAAAAATGTAAGTAATTTGACATATTTTTGTTTGTCCCAATACACTAAAAACTCCATTAATTTGGATTCCATGACTCTGAATTATAAGGCATAAAAACAAGAGTCTACAACACTGGCCTTTGAAGCGAGCTGCAAGTATAAATGAGAGAGCGTAGGCGTAATCTCCCAGACTTAATTGATCTGAGATTAAATTGTTTCGAAGCATTCCTGCCATGAAAGGATGCACAATTTGCCAGCAATTAAAATTTGCAATTACTTAAAGAAAGCGAAGCAGATCTCTAAAAGCAATCACTTTGTATACAGTTATTTGTTCATTTATTCAAATATTTTAAGCCCATTTTTAGAGC